AAATGACAGGAGGAAGTTTCGTTTGCATTTCATATCTGATGTTAAATCTGCTAATCCTCCACAGAGTCTGCCAGAAAAAACAATGTAGACAGACTTGAATTTTATTAAAATCAAAAATCAAGCACCCTGCTTCCTACTCTTCTGTTACACACTGCAAGATAAACCTTAAAAATTCCTGGATTATATTAATTATTTCAGCCATTGTATTCCTCATTGTTTTCTTGAAATGTGCTTTGGTTACAAGTTCTTGACAGAGCATACATTAACAGCCCTTCCCTCTTGGGTCTTCTTCCCTCACCCCAGGAAAGCCATGTCTCCACGTTTGCCCTTGTTTATGTAAGTTAATCTTCTGTATTGTGACAGGTTTTTCCTTCATTAATGAGAGTTCCTAATTGGGCATAATGAAGTGTGTGCTCATGCTACTAGATAATAATATAATGAAAGCACAACAGAGGTAAGAGATTACGAAGAAAATAAGCATTTTAAAGATTTTGGAGAAGACACGAAAGCCATTTTTTGCCAATGTTTTCCCATTTTATTTGAGAATGACTTCTGGTGCAGCTGTGCAACTAAGACTATCTGAAATGACACCCATTATTTATTGGCCTGGTTAGCAAACAAGGACACCTTTGACTACAGCAAATTGTGAGGTCAATTTACTGTGCTTTACACCAGCTGAAGACTAGGTTTTTTGTATTTATATTCTCTAAAATTTTCCATTTGGCATGAGCTTCCCTGGGGAAAGCAATAGGAACTTGGGAGAGGGGAGCAGGAGAGAGCTTGAATTTGTAGAAAGCTGGCACAAGTGTAATTGTGCCTTTTATTTGCTATCCAGGTGCATCAGATCAAGTTACGGACCAGTCTCCCAGTAAAGCCAAGTTTTCCTCAACCTAGTAGAAACTGCAGAAAATATATGTTAAGGGGATATATTTTGCAGCTGTTATGCATTGAAATGATTCAGTACCCTGTCTTCTTACAGAGTAAAATGGAAAGGATTCAATGCTCTTGAGCTGCCTGAAATACACTGAAATTGGCTGCTTGATTAAATCTGGCTTGCCAATTTGAAAGTGCCTTTCTTGTGATATCCAAAGGGCGTAAACAGAGCTATTTTGCAAGGGAACTGTGAAGAAGGATGGTGGCACATCTGCCTAGAGGCACAAAAAAAGATTCTTCTGTTACCGACACTGCCCAAGCAGCCTGTGTGTGTGAAGGGCCTGATGCTGCCCTGGTAGAGTCGGTGGGCACTGGATCCCTGATATTCCGGGGACACAAGAGCAGGGCAATTAGCATCAGGAACCTGTGGCTCTGAAAACTGGTACCTGCTTGTGCTGGAGTTACTGTATTTTGAACTCCGCACATTGACATCAGTTCTGTACCTTTAAAAGAAATATCTTTTAATGAAGTTAAATATGTAGCAGTTCTGATTTTGAGCTACTACTTGTTCTGCATGTAAAGACACTTTATGGCATCCCAGCAAAGGATACAGAGATTGAGACGGTACTGAGAGATTACTGCATCTCTCCCTTCTGGGGCTTGGGGACCAGCTTACCCTGGCACAGGTAACAGCTTCCGAAGAGGCTCCTTTCAGTGCAGCCTTGCTGGCTGTGCCATCCCCGCCCCGCTGTCTTCCTCCCAGTGGAAAGCCTGTGCAGGGGGAGGTCGGGAGATGTGGCTCAGCACAGTAAAATTCTACCTTGCTGTGAAAAGCAGCTTTAATCTCTCTCTGCAGAGCGGTGGGGTACATGGGATGGACGTAAGAATGAGTGGCTGTACTGAGTCAGGGCAAACATCTTGTCTGGGCTCCAGTGGCGGGTGACAGGACATACCTACAGGAAAGAAGAGGGAAGGACAGCCTCTAAATAGAGTGACAGGAGGGATGTGTCTTCTACATCGGGAAAAGGGGACATGACTGAAGAGCTGGCTAATTCAGTGGTGCATAATTGTGTTTCATATTCTGTGCTTTGGGGGTATTTTTGTTTTTAAGTCAGCATGTCAAGATCTCTTAAGTTAGCCTTTGTGCATCTTGAGCTGTTATTTTTTTCTCAGATTGGCTGTTTCCATGGAAAGTATAATTTTATAGAAATAATGCTGATGTATTTCGCTTCCGGTACCTGTGACATTTTGTGATTACGTTGACTTTCACTCTTCAACTCCTTCAGAATAATGGTGATGGTACTAACGGAGGGGTTTGGTGCACTATGGTGCTTCCTTTTCTTGGTTAGATCATGGAAACCCGATCCAAAATACCTTGAAGGAGAAGAGTGGGATGAGTTAATATGGGGAATTATTGTCTGTGAAGAAAAGAAGAAAGTTGTCAGCTGGAACAGAAGTTCTGTCACCTCTTGATACTGGGATAAATGGTTATTTTGTGAGCAAAAATTGATTCAAAGAATCTTGGATATGGATTATAAAGCACAGGGGGTTTGGGCACTAGCTTCAAGTGAACTGTTTAAACCAAAAGGAGCTTGAGGGAGGAATGTTGTCTCCAACATAAGCTGGTAGAGCTAAGAATGTTAGAGGAAGGAGAAGCTAAGGTGGATAGTATAGTGGATCATTCATGAATTGTAGTAGCAGCACTGTCTCCTCTTTTCCCTTTCTCCTGTCCTGGATAGCGCCACGTTCTGCTGATCTGTCTTGGAAAATATCAAAAGCTTGTGAAGTACACTTTGGAGGCAACAGCTTGGTGACACAGCGTGACAGGGCTTGTCAGCAGAAAAGCGTCGAGTCATGATGCACAGGTTTGTGTCTCAATAAAATAAAAAAACCCACTAAAATAAGCATACATTTGAAATGTGCACCTGGAGTATGTGTTAATGAGACAAGCCAAGTGGGCTATGAACAGCCTGTGTTAATGCTGTAGGATATCACTGTGCAAATATTATGTGCTGAATTGGAGAGAACTGTAACTATGTTATAGATTTATTTTGGATTTTGCAGTGGTGTTTGGGATTTGACCCACATTTTGGTGTTTCTGTTTCAGTAAGGAATGAACTGTAGGGGACCCAGTCACTTCATAGTTTGCTAACAACCTCTAATCTGGAGGCTGATGTTTGTCTTTACTCTTTTAGGTTACCTTGCTGCTGATTAGTGCTTCTGTTTTGGTCATAGCATGTGTTGAAAGTTTGGATATCTCTAGAGCATGAAATATGTATTCATCTGGTATAGTCTTGTTCCGCCCAGGGCATTGCCTGAATAATGTTTTTCCCTTGCCAGAGAAGTAAACTCATCCTCACGGAAGGACTGAGTAGTCTTCCTTGCTTCACTTCTTGTCTTTCATTTGTCTTTTATGACACTGTGGTATCACAGAATCACAGAATCACAGAATGGTAGGGGTTGGAAGGGACCTCTGTGGGTCATCTAGTCCAACCCCCCTGCTGAAGCAGGGTCAAGGGAATCTGTATGTCTGCAGCAGGATAGCACTCAATAAGGCAGGGCCATACTGTGTAGTTCAGGTGCTGCTTTGGATATTTTGTTAGAAAAACCACCACACTTCGAGGTTTCTATCTTCATTTTCTGCATAAATAAGGACATACAGTGTTTAAGCTAATTAGTTCCTTCAGGACAGAATTATGATGATCAGTTGCTGTTTTCCACACATGCTGCTTCTTCTTTAGACCCTGGGCTGTAGTCAGAAGAAATCTGGCCCATCCACAGAAAACAGTCTTGGAGGCGCACCGCAAGTAGAGGTACGCTGCAGCTTTCTCAGAATTGACTGAAAGATGTTCGTAAAGCCATGATTTTAAAAACAAATCCTAAGTAGGATGGCTGAACTCCCAAAGCATGAAGGTGAACTTTCTGTTGGTTGGTTTGCTGGCAAAACCATCTTTCAAATAATTCCTGTCTGTGCCAGTTAGGAACAAAAAAAGAAAAACAACAGGAAAAAGAAGGATGCTCCTGACTTCGCTGCTGTGGTCTGGAGCAGCGTTTTCAGTTGGGTGCTGGGGTGATTTCAGGGCTCCCTGCGCAGCGTACACCCACACAGGGCTGTGCGGAGGTTTCTGACTGAGTGCCCTCGGCAGCTCCAAGCAACCTCTCGGGTTTGGCAGGAGCCGCCACTCCTGCTTGTTTCTCCTGCTGGGAATTTGCATGGGCGGAGTGCCGTTGGATCTGACTCTGCTTTTTAATATCTCAGCTAGGTTTCCAGGATCGCTGCAATTTGCCATACGTACCTGTGTGTCTGTAGGCGTGTATGTCCAAATATCAAACTGATCAAACTGTTTGTTGGTTAGCTCTTCTCTACAAAGCCTTACCAAAGTACCTGGGGGGCCCCAAATAAATGTGCAGAGTGCACCCAAAACATGTATCTCATCTTTCTGCGTGTTGTACTTAGCAATTCTCCAGAACTTGTGTAGCATCACCAGGCATCTTCCTTAGCACTTCCTTGGTGTGCACTTTAAAAAGAAATAAATCTAATTTACGCTCATGATCTTGTATGCTGTGCCACTGATAAGTGCCCTTACAATTCAGATGATGTAGCTTGTCTGAAGTCAATAGACACACACTGGTCTGTGTCAGATAAGGAAATGGTCTTGGGTTCCAGGCTGTTGGTGTTAAAAGTGACGTCCGTCTGCATTTTGCTTTCTGCAATGGTATTGTAATCCAGTCTGTTCCAAGTTGGACAGAAAGGAGCTCAGTTTTGGTGTTGATTTTTAGGAATGCTTACAAGGAATCGATAAGATTGACATTGATTAGAAGGACAAATAGATGGAAGAAATAAAGTTAATTTTTCTACATTTGTGGAAAGGCAAGTACTGTGTACAGGGTCCTGGCCAGCAGAAGGCAGTAACTGCCCAGCTTTGCCTGGTTCGGCGTTGCGTGCCTGCTTGCATTAGCCATCTTCACAGTACAGATCGACGGACTGAATTGTCGGGGTTTCAGGAGCAGTTCGTAGGATATTTGTTGTTCTACATGCTCAGTTCTTTATGATTCCCCCAAAATAATGTGTTCCCTTTCTTTCGTAGGCCTAAGAGTTTTGCTTTTCATGTACAATAGTACTCAGCATGTTGTTATTCTATCGCGTGCTGGCCAGAGCCTTTCTTCCGTTCCTCATCCTTTCAGAAAATTGGGTTTCAGCTGAGAACATCAACTTTTACAATGTGAGACCTCCACTAGACCGTAAGTAGACAGTTATGCCTTTTTTCTGTATGCAATTGTAGCTCAGCATTTTAGTTAATTGCCATATTCTTTCGATCCACTGGTTTTTGTGTTTGTCCTCTTCAAAGATGAAGGATAAAAAGTTTAAAATAAAACTTTTGCTTTTCAACCCACAACAGTTTAGTTTATTTCTAAGATTTTAGAAGTTAAGTGAATGAAAACAAACAATTGCGTGCATTGCTATATTGAAAAGTGCATGAGGGCAATAGTTTTCACATTTTAAGTGCTTTTTGTTATATTTTCCTGTCTCTGAAATGTCTTCCTACAGAGCAAATTGTGCAGCAGGTTTCTGATAAATAACACAGAACAGATGTTTCTGCCTTTTGTCTTGTTGGGGTTTCTGTAAGGGGAAGAATAGGTGTGCTGTATGCAATTAATTCAAACTGAAGGTAATTAAAAACCTTGTGAGACCTGTGAAGCCAGTTGTCACTAATAGCATCATTTTTTTGCCTCCTATCTAGCATCAGAAGTGTTCTGTCCTTTAATTTAAGGGAAGATGATTTTCGTGATATGTGTCATTAAAAGAGTCGAGACAGCTAGCTGTAACAGGAATATATGTGCATCTAGGGAACTGCGCATCTTAATTTATGTATTTATGTAATGTAAATAAGATTTTAAAATTTCCCTTTGTCACTTCTCCGGAGGTGGAGATCAAGATCTGAAGCTGGTTTTGAAGCTGTAATTTTTTCCATCAAAGGAATCAAAAGCCATTGGCATGTAGATGGTGTCTGTGTACCTGTACAGACAGACAGGCGGATGTACTGTCATGTGTGTACACAGAAGATCTTCTCCCTTTCCTGTTTTTCCCACCACTGCTTCAGCAGTGTTTTTCATTGTGAGAGTGTGGAAACAGGAGGAGATGTTTTAAAGTTCAGGCACAGCAATACTAGTTAATAAATGTGAAAGCTTTCTACAAAACGTGTCTCGTAGATTTTGTCTAACAGTGATGTATCATTGAAAATATGTAAATGTGTGTAATATGATTTTGTAAGTATATGTGTGTACAAGCACTTACAGTATTATTCTGAATATTTTTTTTCTTAATATTTGCCAACTTACTATATTTTCATACTTTTAAAGCCACTCCATTTCCAAACAGTTTTAAGTGCTTTACCTGTGATAATGCAGTGGACAATTACAACTGTAACAGATGGGCTGAAGATAGATGGTGTCCTGCAAGTAAGTGTGTCTGTGCTAAGGAGATGCTTTATGATAGTTACATTTCCTTCTTGCTGACTCAGCCGTCTTGTAGAAGTGTAGCTGAAGGGGATTAACATGCCAACACAGTGGTGCCCTCAGTTATGTTATTAGTAATACTGAGTCATACGATTTCTGCTGAGGTGACTATTTTGATCATTGCAGAGCACAAAGCAACAGTGAAAAATTACTTCTATTTATATAAAAATATATGTTTTATATGTTACATATTTCTATTTATATATATAAAAACATTTTATATAATGTATAACAATACATTATTAATAAAGTAATATATTATAATATTATATAACATAATATCTGGAGTACTGTGTCCAGTTCTGGGCTCCCCAGTTCAAGAAAGATGAGGAGCTACTGGAGAGAGTCCAGTGGAGGGGTACGAGGATGAGGAGGGGACTGGAGCATCTCTGCTACGAGGAGAGGCTGAGGGAGCTGGGCTTGTTCAGCCTGGAGAAGAGAAGGCTGAGAGG